TCTTGAAATGATCTACCCGTCTCTACCTATCTACTCATGTACTGATAATTAGTACAGAGGAAAAGATAATTTCTGACACAAACTAGCTCTGAAGTAGCAGGATATTGAGGAGTTATCTGTGGTAGTAACAAAATTTGTGACTTGAGAATTGTAAGGCACAAATATGTAAATTTCCTCTGAAAATTTCTCTCCAACCCAGGTACACATTGTAAAATCATCTGATTATCCACAGTTGATATGATTTAATCTTTCTTCATCTATTTCATTGCTATGTTTGAGAATATCTGGGGTCTTAAATTGTAATAGATACTTCGAACTTTGTATCTTAAAATGTCCATATTATCAAAAATAATAAAAATATGAAAAGGGTCATAAAATGTCTGTTCATGTCATGCAGGGGAAGTTATTATAACAGTTATTTCATGATCATTAGATTTTGAAATCATCTTTATCTTTAAAGCAGTAAAAGCTCCATAAATATTGTTTCTCCCATTGTAAAAAGCTATGTGCATATAAGTCTTCACTGATTTTGCAATTTGTCAAATTTAATTTTAAATCAGTATCACCTTGTTTTATCTCCACCAGTTGTATTTAAGTTTAAATCCTCAGTTTAAGTGTCAGTAATCATTTGTATGTACTGTAAAATGTCTCTAAAGGGAATGTGGGCTGAAAACAGTTGATACAAGTTTCCAGTCATAGGTATTTTGTTATTAAATTTTCACAGGATGTTAATGTTGAAAATGGAAGTGGATGCAGATCAACTTTGTGTATTCCAACTTCATTTTCTACTTAATGAGATGATACATAAATTAATTCTCTCGTAAAGCTGGGGGAAATTATGTTTTTTATTCAATCAGTAATTAGATAACAATTTCTTACTCAACCTACCACTCCTAGGCATTAAAAGGAAAGTTGGAAGTTTCCTGCCTTGGTAGACTTGATCTGATAGCACTGGAAAGAAGAGCTTATTGAAATTCTCAGTGAAAAGCAACAGATGATTTTTTTTCCTAGTCTGTTTCTTAACTTCCTTAAGCAAGCCTAGCAAATGTTTATTTATTTTCACTAGGTGTTATAATTTTAGGCACATCAACAGAACACTATTATTTGTATAGCTTAGGTGAGGGCTATTTTTTACTTATTAAAACTTTGTAATGAAAGGACAGTATGGTTTCTCTTTAATAATGAAGTAGACGTGATGAATTGTTTAGCATCTACCCTACTTTGGATTTATGAATATTGATTTTGTATGTGGAGTATTCTTTTGCACAACAGCAAAATTATTTATTTATTTGACAATTCTTTTGACAAGTTTAAATTCTTGTTAAAATCATAATACTAGTTCCATAAGATGGAAGCACTCCACTACGGAAAACATAGGAGAATGAAGTGATGAGTTTGCAAATTCCCAGCTAATTTTAGTAAATTCAACTTCTGATTTTGCCAACTTTTCTTTAAAAAAATTTAACAAAATCATCCAGTGGATTGGCTTCTAGACTATTCAGTTTCTGATGTGTTTCTATATTAACATTTTATATTAGGATCAAAAATTCACAAAAGTATGTTTATCCTTAACCCTTAAAGATTCAAATGTATATAGAACAATTATTTAATGTTTGTCATTGGATTTAAGAAATGTTTAGGATCACAAATACACACATTCAAATATACCAACACATGTTTAGGTAATGCAACTAACTGGAATGTGTCAATATCAGATTTAACACAGATTGAAAAAAAATCTTTATATTGCAATAAGTTAATAAGTTAATAGCATACTGAAAAACTGCTACAGAATAGTCCATTTTAAAAATCCATTTTGTGTTTAGATATTCAGGAAATAGTCAGAATGTTGGTATTTGGACACATGTCATCTCTTATTCAGAGGTTAGCAAAAACAATACATAGTCATGAAAACTAAAATTATAATATTGACAACATTAGAGACAAGTTTTAAAATGTTACTCTAATAGGATTCCTAACATTTTTATATACTTTGCAGTTATTTTGTTTAAAAGATCAGATGAAAACTAGCCTGAAATAAAATAAAAGTAAAAATCCTAAACATTAAATATCTTCTTTTCAATATTGCTTTCACAGAATAAATTAATTTGCAAAACCTATTTGTTATAGGAGCTGAAAAGATAAATTCCATATATTCCTGAATCATTATAAGTTGTAAATTACTGGGACTGGAATTTATAAAGAAACATTTTATTTTTTACTTTAAAAGATTGTGTTTGAACATCACTTAGAGTTGGCAGAAATCAGATGGAGCATTTGTATTTCCTGGGGTAGCATTCAACGTTTATTGCACTGAGAATCCTATGGTGGGTATCGGTCACAATCACGTCTACAGCACACACCTTAGAAAAACTGGTGGGAAGTATGTAAGCGTGCCTGTGGTATTGGTATCTTTAAATCTATCCTTATTTTATCTTAAAAAAATTGCAAACATTGCTATTTAACCATCACTGGCAAATAATCTCATTTGCAGCCTACCTCGTAATTCTTGGCCACACGCAATTTGCTGAGAGACACAAGCCTATATTAATGAGAAAAATATAAGCTTAGCAGTTTTATTTAAGTTCCAACCACAGGTTTAATTCACTTTTCACACTCACTCTTGCGGGTCTTTGAAAGCAGCATGCCGAGGCTGAGATCGCAGCTGTGGGGGCAGACTGTATGGTGGAATGCTTGTCGAGCTGCTGTATAAACGTGGAGAGAACATTTTATAGATTATCTGCAAGTGCAATTTTTCAAAAACTGCTAGGTTGAAACAATCATGGAAGCTGCTGGTTAAATGCAGACTTGTGAACCAAAACAGACCCACTGAGTTGCAAACCCCAGTGCAGAGACCTGGCAATCGGAATTTCCCTTACCCCGCCTGGGCGATCAGGTGATCTCACTTGGCAGAGCGGCTAATCTCACTCCAAGCCTTCATTCACTCACATTTTTACTGAGGGTAGAGTAGATAGGCTTACGTTCTAGGGGGCTCTGGAGATGCAGAGATAACAGGAGTCCTGTTTCCTTAGTAAGTTAGAGTGTGTAGTACTCTGTGTTGCCACAGAATTGCAAAGGTGGTTACCTTTAAAAGCTGTTGCCTTTGGGTTACTGGGTGGCTCAGTTGGTTAAGCGTCTGCCTTCCACTCAGGTCATGGTCCCAGGGTCCTAGGATCGAGTCCCACATTGGGCTCCCTGCTCTGCGGGGGAGCCTGCTTCTCCCTCAGCCTCTGTCTCTCATGAATAAACAAAATCTTAAAAAAAATAAAAAAATAAATAAAAGCTGTTGCCTTTGATGATGGGGTAGATGCCGTTCTTTAGTTCAGGCTGGTGTCGCAGAATACTGCTTGCCTTATGTAAGCAAAAAAACATTTATTTCTCGTAGTTCTAAAGGCTGGGACATCCAAGATCCTCGTGCTGGCAGAATCATTGTCTGGTGAGGGCCTCCTTCCGGGTTCCCGGATGGTCATCTCCCTGTGTCCTCACGTAGCAGAAGGGACCAAGGAAATCTCCAGAGTCTCTTTTATAGAGGCACTAATCCCATTCACGAGGGCTTCACCCTCATGACCTAGTCACCTCCTGAAAGCCTCACTCCCAAGTGCCATCATGTTGGAGATTAGATTTCAAGCATATTAATTTTAGGGGGAAAACAAATATTCAGTCTGGAGCAAGCACCTTGATATATCACACTAAAGCTTGAAACCCAACATTAAATGGTCTCAGAACAGAATCAGAGTACACGATACTGTATTTTATCTGTCTGTGCTTTTCATAAAGGTGTTTGGTTTGGTTTGGTTTGTTGTTGCTGTTTATTTGGTTTTAGGACACTATGGCATATGCATGCACTACTAATAAAGTGGACACAGTTCCATTTTATTAGTAGCTCTCCCTGCACTTCTGCCTTTTATTATTTCATTTCATTCTACTGTCGTTCCATCTCCTTTTATAATATATTCAATGGTCTGATTACTGAATTACTGTGTGGTCTTTTACAACCTAATTAAAAATAACTATGAGATCGGGGTTATGGGAGATAATTTTATTGATGTATTTTATAATTAATTATGTATTGATAACAGTCCAGCATCATTATTTATTATAATTAGGCTAATTATAAAATGTAATTACTAGAATATCCAAGGTGTTCAACTGCTGCCTAAAGCTATCATTTTGAAATATAACTTTTGCCAGCCAATTACTACAGCCTTCCTTAATTTGTGGATAAATCATGCTCTGTTATTTCTACGGAGAAATTGATTTGGGAGCATCAGTTCCCTAAGTGAGAAAATAAAATGTCCCACAGTAAAGTGTTTGGGTGATAAGGTTATAAGAACAACAGAACATGGTTCAGAAGATGGTCACACAATTACTGTCATTGACTAATACAACTCACGACTTTCCTAGTACTTAACAGGGTTTGCCAGTCAAGGCATTGTTTAACCATGAAATACTTTACTTTCTTTTTAATTTGAACATGCTAGGGGGTCTGAGGATTATCAGCCTTCCCTGTGGGTGTATAGCTTCTCTTTGCAGTAACTAGTGTATAATCTACTAGCTTTCATTCTGGATAAAAAAGACATTGAAAAACTGTAAAAATACAGTAGGTGTTGAATCAAGCATCTAATGCCAGTCTTTTATCAACAGTGAACTCACAGTTGGAAATTGTCTTCTCAGTGACACTTTTCTTCTGTCATTGGTGGTTTGTGGCTGACTGTGCAACAAAATAAGCAGTGAATTACAAAATCATAACTTTTTTATTTCTATACTTTCTAAAGATGTTTGACTCTAGGAAATACATCTTAGAAAACTTAATGCCCACCCTCTGTTGACCAGCCATTATCCTTGGAAAGCTAAAGTGGGGTTAGTAGGCTGAGCATTCCCATTTGGATCCTTAGGTTGGGCAGGATGCATTAAGCTCATTTACTGTCTGGAGCAGACAGACGCCCAGTTTTAACATGAATACTAAGCTTTTTCGTGTTTTACCTCTGCTTTTGTTACAGAAGCCCTTCAAACTCTCATCAGACAAGCAGAGAATTACACCAGCATTCTGTTCTGCAACACCTACAGGAACATAGCCCTAGAGGCTGCAGCCTCAGTTCAGGAGTTGTTCACTGATGTGGGGCTCTATTTATTTGGTGCGGATGTTAATCCTGAAGAGTTCATAAACAGATTCTTTGACAGTCTTTTCCCTCTCGTTTACAATCACCTCATTAATCCTGGCATGACAGACAGTTCCCTGGAATACTCAGAATGCATCCGGACGGCCCGCCGGGATGTTAGTCCATTTGGTAATATTCCCAAAAGAGTAATGGGGCAGATGGGGAGATCACTGCTGCCTAGCCGCACATTTCTGCAGGCGCTGAATCTGGGCATCGAAGTCATCAATACCACAGACCATCTGCACGTCTCCAAAGAGTGCAGCAGAGCCCTCCTGAGGATGCAGTACTGCCCTCTCTGCCAGGGCCTGACTCTCAGTAAGCCTTGCATGGGGTACTGCCTCAACGTCGTGAGAGGCTGCCTGGCACACACGGCAGAGCTGAATCCGCACTGGCATGCCTACATCCGGTCCTTGGAGGAACTATCGGACGCCATGCACGGAACATACGACATTGAACATGTGCTCCTGAACTTCCACGTGCTTGTTAACGACGCTGTGATGCAGGCTCACCTCAATGGACAGAAGTTATCAGAACAGGTAAGCGGCCCCGCCACATCTCCTGACCGAGGGCTTAGAGCTCAGGTATTAGGTGTGTACATAAAATTCCGTTGATTATAAGCGCATCATTATGTACTTGAAAATGATGGCAGCTTAACAAGTTAATACCTCAGGAAAGAGTAGGAGAATGCATGGGATGCCATGTTTGAGTCAAGATATATTTTCTATATCTTAGAGTAGATGTTTCATTAGCTACTTTCCACTTTCTCCTCTAAGTAGAAGCCTTCTCATAGGGTTAGTTGAGTGAGGGAGAGAGGACTCAGGTTGAAAATCGGGACCAGCATGGATCTGAATCTGCTGTCTGTCAGGAATTCCCAGATGCCTTTGATTCTTTGAGGCTGTCTCCTCAATGATAAAAAGAGAATAGTAACACGTAACTTTTGGAGTATTCTTTTTTGGGAAGATAGACAATATGTATGCAAACTAACTAGTATGGTGTCTGTTACTCAAAAAATGGGTAGTTATTGTTAGCGTTTCAGAGGTGTTCAGCATTAAAATAGAAAATGCCAATGATATATTCATTAAATGAAGACTTGACAGCTTAATGTTCAAAAGTGTTTCTTCAGAGACTCTTCAGAATGTGTCACATTGATGGTGTAATGATTTTTCAAAATGTGCTATATGCAACATCATGGTGTTTTATTCCAAGAAAACTTTAGAAAGTGTTTGAAACAAAATCATCAAGTAAAAGGGCATAGGAGTGTTCTGTTTCTCCCACCTTCTGTAGAGTCATTTTCTTATATATTCACAGGCTCCTGAGTAACAGTCTCATACCCCATATAGTGAAGTAGGACCTGTTGCTGATGTTTAGCCTAAATCATTTCTCCTGAAACAAAATTATATTCCTTGGTGCTGAGAGAAGACATCTCCCTGCCCCCCAGTCCTAATTTACTGAATTAATAAATATCCTAATCATTAGCCTTATAGGTCATACTTTAATTTCTGGTAGATATTGGATCTGAAAATATTTATGTGCAGTCATCTCTTCACCTTTCTTCTCAACTTCCAGGGTCTTTGCAGGGCCTGTGTGAGCATATAAGGTGCCCTTATGCAGATTAGACATGGTGCCCTCTTTAGGTGCATGCCACACCCTTATATGGCTTGGTGGGTAGAGTGAGCTGTATTTCAACTCCTGCTTCCCAATTTATTTGGCTGGGTGTCCTTGGACAGAGAACAAGATTCCCAACAATATGCAATGGTCTGAATCTTTCTGCAATCTCATTTCTTTCTGGAGATCAGATTAGCACCAGAGCTTTTGGGAAGGGTATAATAAACCAACTCAAATGAGGTATAAAAGACGTTTAAGGTTTCAAGTATTTCTTAGTTATGAGAAATAAGATCCAGGAAACAAATATGATTATTATGATGTCAAGTATTTGTAGAAGGGAAGGCAGGCTCAAGAGCTCTGAAATCAAGTTCAGATTTGATTATTAATTTGGGACATGCTATGTAACCTCTAAAGGTCAGAGTTTTCTAATGTACATAAGTAAATAAGTTTTAATGCCTTTTATTATGTATTTTCGAGACCTGGAGGGCCTGTTTGTATCCTTAAAATCTATCACATAGAAAATTATGTTTTTCCTATTTCAAACACTAAACTGACGCAGGTTCATACTTAGATAAACATGTTTTCAAGTCCTGAGTTGCCTAGTAATTTGTCATATGGCCTGGGACAGCTACTAACACCTACTGACAAAGGATTCTGTTTGGGCTTGTGTGGAGAAGGTAGAAATGGTTCAGGTGGGGTAATGTTGGTAAGGCTCTGACATTGATAGACACTGGTCCTGGAAATGTTTGCTTTTTTCTTTCCCTATTCTAAGGCCAGCCCTGAGCAAACCTCAGGGAAGCAGGTTACTTTAGTATCTTAAAGGATTAGAATCATCATTGTACTTGTGTTTTATAAATAAGTTTTATTTTTATTTATTTTTTAAATGATTTTATTTATTTTAGAGAGAGAGAGAGCATGGGTGAGCAGAGGGAGGGGCAGAGGGAGAGGGAGGGGGAGAATCTCAAGCAGACTCCCTGCTGAGTGTGGAGCCCGACCTGGGATTTGATCTCACAATCCTGAGATCATGACTTGAGACCAAACCAAGAGTTGGATGCTTAATCAACTGAGTCACCCAGGTGCCACTATAAGTAAGTTTTAAACAGGACTTCTGTCATATGAAACTCTGTGGTGGATTTATAAAGAACATTCTTTTCTTTTAGGCAAATCGTTTGATTTGATATAATCAATAGTCCTATGACTATCTTGAGAAATATTCATTATTACTAATAAGTTGTAGATTCTTTTCTAAATAGAACAACTGAGATTCTCTTTTAAACTTACGACAATAGAAGAAGGAGATACTGACTTTAAATTCCTTGAAAATTGACTCATTAATATTTATTTCTGCCAACTTCAAAGTGATTTATAAGCTATTTATCAAGGTTCGATAACCAGTTCACACATCAATGAATTTAACAAATTCAAAATAAATTACTGGAGAGCCAGAAAATAATGACTTTCTCACATTCCCAAAGCAATCTGTGAGATCTAGGACTTCCAAGTCTAGTCCTCAGTAAATGCATATTTTCACTTTAAGAAATCCATAGAGGTATCTGCTGTATCATGTTTCCGTTGGATGAATTTCAACTGGAAAGAAAAATGTTCTGTTTCCTGAGAATATCGTTAAGTATCTTCTATTTAATAAGCCATTAGAGAAACAGAACCTAATTGACAATAGAGTATTTTCATTTTATAATTATTCTGGGGCTTAAGGCAATACTTAATTTAATAAAACATTAACAGCAAAGTGTAGATATTAAAAGCACTGGCTTTGCTGTCCGACTGGATTTCACATCTGCTCTACCACTTAACTAGCTGTGAGTTGGTGCATTTGATTATTCATCTCTCTCTGCTTTAGTTTCCTCTTTGGTGAAACAGGGCAATAATACCTACATCATGGAGTTCTTGTTAGAATAAAATGAGCTTTCACACGTAGATGAGTGTCTTGTACATGGTGAATGTTTGAATCCTACTAATTATCATCACGTTGTATCATTTATGGATACTTTGTTGGTTTCTCTGATGTTGTAAATGCTCCTAAAGCAAACACGCCTTTCCTGCTGTGGTGTAGAGTTAAGAATATTTTTTAATGGTCATTTAATGTAAACAAATAATTGTAAAGATTTTCCTTGAATGAGAAAAAAACCTTGGAATTTTCAGAAAACATTATGCAACTCCACAATGTGTTTTAATATTAATGGCTATTAATTAATAATTAGCAGATATAGGAAATCATTTAATGATTGAATGATTTGTTAGGGAATCTATTTATTTTGTAAATAAAGTTAATTTTTTTTGCTATTCATTATATTTAACATATTATTAACATAATTTAATACTTTAACTTATTCAAAGAACCTAGGACCTGTGTTAATTTCAGTGTTTCAACATCTTCTAAATGGAACAGATATTACTAAGAAACTCAGCTGAACATTGATTCTGTACAATTTTAGAAACAAATTTTTTTTTTCAGCTTTATTTGCATATAATTGACAAAAAAAATTTTATTCAAATATCTGGTAGAATTCACCAGTGAAATTTGGTCCTGGGGTTTTCTTTGTTGAGAGGTGGGTTTTGTTGTTGTTGTTGTTGTTGTTTTACTGATTCAATCTCCTTACTCATTATTTGTCTGTTCAGATTTTCTATTTTTTTCATGATTTAGTTTTGGTAGGTTCTATGTTTCCAGGAATTTAACCATTTATTCTAGGTTATCCAGTGTGCTGGCATAAAGTTGTTCTTAGCAGTCTCTGTGATTCTTTATATTTCTGTGATGTCAGTTGTAGTGTCTCTTTTTTCACTTATAATTTTATTGAGTTTTCTCTATTTTTTTCTCAGTCTAGCCACTTTTTTATCCTTTCAAAAACCGGCTCTTCATTTCATTGATATTTTCTGTTGTTCATCTAGTTTCCATTTCATTTATTTCTGCTTTGATCTTTGCTATGTCTTTTCTTCTGGTAACTTTGGGCTTAGTTTGTTCTTTTTTTCCCCTAGGTGAATGTAAAGTTAGGTTGTTTATTTGTGATTTTTTTCCCCTTCCTGTAGGTGTTCATCACTATAAACTTCCCAGCCAGCCCTGCTTTTGCTGGATCTCATAAATTTTGGTATGCTCTGTTTTCACAGCTGGGAGTTGGGGTTTCTCTCGGGATTGAACGGTGCTTTGCTGAGGGTGGGGTTTACGGCAAGTGTGTATCTCAGTCCTTCCTGCCCATTGCAGGTAGGGGTTTTCTCATCCACCCAGGGGTTCAGCTAGTTTGTAGATTTCTTTCAGAGGAAATTTCTCTATGGGTAGTTGTATGTTTTGTCCATTTGGTGCATCTGTGGGTGGAGAGAAATTCAGGAGCCTCCTATGTTACTATCTTGGGAATTACTACCACAAAAATTTTTTTTTTAAGTCTGTAATGGGTTTAGAAACATAATTTCCAACAGTGAAAGTCCTAATTTGTATTTTTAAATAGATAATCAGTTTTTCATATCTCTTTCCTATGTACTATTAGTAGAGATTCAGCTGGTTGCATTCAAATTACTTTAGAATAGCTATTCACTTCAATTTTAATACCTATCAAAATTGAGTTTAAGGTGAATTGTACACACTAGTGCACTCTAATTAAACTCTGTTGTTGAGAAAACTATACCTCATCACTTCCTCGCTACATATTCACATTTATCTACATCTCAAAATGAAACCATAATAAATTAATCATGAGTTTTTAAGTATCTTGATGATATTCTTCTATAGAAATTGAAAAGGAAAATTAAAATAGTAGCTGGGATTACTTCTGGTAAGGCACTAATTTGGTTCTATTTTTTTAATGTGGTATACAGTTGCTTAAAAATCACTGTGTTATACGATTTTGTATAATAAGGATTGTAAGACAAATAAGGTTGAGGCAACACATTACTCTCTGAAGGGTGCATCTTTGAAATGGTTTCC